ATTCTTATTACAACTCAATGAGAATTTAAATATTTAATTACAAACATTTTTGTGAAGTTTAATTAATTTCCAAATTTTTATAGTTAGAATTTTCGAAAAAAACAATATTATTTTAAAATAATTTTTTAAAGTGAGAAAATAAAATTCTTTGAAATATAAAATTTATTTAAAATGAAATTAGAAGAAAATTTCCTATTTTTTATTGTAATTTTTCAAATTTTAAAGTATTTTATCAAAATTTTTAAAAATAATTGAATTCTTGAGAAAAATTGGATTATTTATGAAAATAATTGATTTCTTGCGAAAAATGTTATTCAAATTTTTTTTTAAATAATTGAATTCCTATAAAAAAATGTAGGTATTATTTGTGAAAATAATTGAATTCTTAAAGAATAATTATATTGAAAATAATTGAATTGTATAGGAAAACTTTATTGAAATTGCAATTTTATTAACTAAATCTTGTAAAGAATGTTGTCAGTATTTTTTTAAATAATAGAAGTTTTAAAAGAATTTTATTCAAATTTTTCGAAATAATTGAATTTCTCAGAACTATTTTTTTCAATTCTCTGAATATATTGGAACCAACAATAAAAATAAAAATACTTTTATAAGTTGTTTAATTTAAAAATGGTTTGAATTTTAAATTTCTGAATGTCTTAATTCCTGTGGAAAATCCTGTTCCAAAAATAAGATTAAGAATAGGAATTGTGAAAATATTTTTCTTTTTTTTTCTAAAACAAAATAATATTTTTGTTTAAAAAATTGTGATTCATGAACAAAAATAATGCAAAATAAATAAATTTTCTATTTCTTAATCACAGTTGTTTAACAATTTTCTAATTTTGTTTTGAAGTAGAGAACAATAATCTGCATAATTTCAATTTGAAAAAAACATAATATTTAACAAAATTTTAGTCTTTTAATGAAAAGAGGTGAAAACAATTCTGATTATTTCTACTTGTCATTACAATTTTGAATTAATTGTAAAATAAAAAATTAAAAATAATTTTACTAATTTGTTAGTAAAAACTAATTTAAAAGCAAAAAGTCAGTCACTAATTGAAATTAGCAAACATTTTTACTAATTCAAATTTAGAGAGTATAGTAGTCATTTTTAAATTGAAGTGAAGTGAATATAAAATTTTAAATATTTTAAAAGTGAATACGCATTTTAAATTACTTATTTGTGCAGTAATATAATGAATATATTCACTATATTATAATTTTATTCTAAAGAAAAAAATAAAAAAATTTCTCGATTTAATAGAATTAAAATTGATTAAATTTTTCAAACAAAAAAAAAACACTAATAAAGATGCATTAGCCTTGGAACGAACTGATGTTAATGTGATAATATTTTTGGAATTCTCTTGTATAATTAAAGATTAATCAAATAAAGTTCAATACAGGTTAATTTACGAAAACCAATTTATCCCATTCATCAATTAAAGCAATTAGCATGACAGCACTTCGTGCAATGTGAATTGATACTGTATATGGAGAGAGAGAGAGAGTGACTATTCTGTTTAAATATTCGCCTTTGTGTGTAATCATTCGAAATGAGCCTGTATGAGTGCATATATATTGTATATATACATATATACTTTAATGGACTTCCCAGGTGCAAGAATTCCCATAGAACTCTTCTCTAGATGAAAACACACAAGTAGAATTCTCAGGAAACCGTCAGAAGTATTCTTTAATCTAAAAGCTTTTCTCCACTATCGACATTTTATACCCAACATTTTTCAAAGTCATTCAAAGAATCGATATTATTTTTCACATTTTTCTACTTTTCATAATTTTTTTTCTTTATTTATTTATTGATCTGAAAAGAATACTGAAGAAAAAGTTTAAAAACAAATTTTCGATATTACAACAATAGGAAAAGTAAACACACACACACACACACAAAAGAATTAAAGCTGTATTTTAAAAACATTTTTATCATTTTTTAAATTCAATCAAAAAGTATCTGAATGATTAATAACACTCCACGGAAGCCGGGGCTTTATATACATTGAAAAGTTAAAAATTGTACGTAGAAAATAAAAAAAAATCCTACAGCTTTATTATATAAAATTATTTAATTTTGCAAAGTTGTTTTTCCGAGTGCAATAATAAAATTATTTTCTTTCAGTTAACGAATAATATATGAAATTTAATTGATTTAAAAAATTTACTGAGTTGCCACAAAAATTTAATTTTGTTTGTTCTCTTATTTTTTATCCTGATTTCTTGAAAAAATTTTAACTTTTTCCCTGAAACTTGTAGAATATTCTGTTTCACTCTAAAAATGACTAGATACTCAAAAAAATGTTCGATCTCAATTTTTCTTAATTAATTAATAATCATAAATTATCATAAATTAATTAGTAAATTTTTAAACTGAAAATAATTGAATTCTTGAGAAGAATTTTAATACAATTTTGGAAAATAATTAAATTTCTGCGATGAATTATATTAAAATTTATGAAAATAATTGAATTCTATCGGAGAATTTTATCAACATTTTTGAAAATAATTAAATTCTATGGGCGAATTTTCTTAAAATTAAAAAAAAATTTTATCTTGTCGAGAAATTTTATTAAAATTTTATTGAAAAAATTGAATTTACAAGAAGAATTTTGTTATTTTAAAAAATAATTGAATTCCTGCAAAATTTTTGATAAAAATTAAATTTCTGCGTTGAATTATATTAAAATTCTTGAAAATAATTCAATTCTTTAAAGGAATTTTGTTAAAACTGAAATTGATTTAAATCTTTATAAAGATTTTTATTAATGTTTTTTAAAAGTCATTGAATTTGATTAAAATTTTTGAAAATAATTTAAACTTGTCGAGAAATTTTATTAAAATTGTATTAAAATAAAAAAATTTAAAAAATAATTGAATTCTTGCTGAGAATTTTAATAAAATTTAAAAAAATAATTCAATTCTAGCAAAAAATGTTGTTAATTATTAAAATAATTGAATTCTTTACAAGAATTTTAATAAAATTAAAAAAAAAATAATTTAATTTCAGCAAGAAATTGTGTTATTTATTAAAATAATTGAATTCTTGACAAGAATTTTAATAAAACTTTTTTAAAAAAATTGAATTCTTGCCAAGAATTTTAATAAAATAAAAAAAAATAATTCAAATCCATCAAGAAATTTTGTTATTTATTAAAATTATTGAATTCTTGACAAGAATTTTAATAAAATTTAAAAAAATAATTTAATTCCAACAAAAAATTTGCTTATCTAATAAAATAATTGAAATCTTGAAAAGAATTTTAATAAAATTTTTGACAATAATTAAATTGTTTACAATAATTTTATCAACATTTTTGAAAATAATTAAATTCTATTCGAAGATGTTTATAAAATTTTTTAAAATAATAATTGTATCTTGTTGAGAAATTTTATTAAAATTTTATTAAAAAAATTGAATTCACAAGAAGAATTTTCTTATTTTAAAAAATATATGAATTCCTGCAAATGCAAACGAAGTTTATTAAATTTTTTTTTAAATAATTGAACCCCTCACTACTATTTTAATATTTATGAAAATAATTAAATTATTGAGAAAAATTCTATAAAAAATTTGTAAATAATTGAGTTCCTGTGAAAATTCTATTATTTATGAAAATAATAAATGTTTGCGTTGAATTTTATCTAAATTGTTTTAAAAATAATGAAATACTTTTGCAAAATTTTATTAAAATAGTAGATATTGAAAATAATTGAATTGTGGAAAATTTTTATAGAATAATGGAAATTTTGCCGAGAATTGCATTAAAATTTTTGAAAATAATTGAATTTCGGAGACGAATTTTATTATTTATAAAAATAATGAAATTTTGCCGACAATTAAAAAAAAAATTTTTGAACATAATTGAATTTCTGCGAAGAATTTTATTAATTTTTGAAAATAATTTAATTCTTGCAATGAACAAAGTTATTTAATGAAACTCATTAAATTTTGCAATGGATTTTATAAAAATTTCTGAAAATAATTGAATTTTGGCGAAGAATTTTATTATTTACAAAGATATTTAAAATTTTGACGAGAATTTTATAAAAATTCCTAAAAATAATTGAATTTCGGCGAATAATTTTATTAATTTTGAAAATAATTGAATTCTTGTGATGAAGACTATTATATTTGGGAAAATAATTGAATTTTGCAATGATTTTTATTAAAATTCCTGAAAATAATTGAATTTTGCCGAAGAATTTTGCTATTCATTTATAAATAAAGATAATTGAAATGTTGACAATTTTTTTTTAGATTTTCTGAAAATAATTGAATTTCTGCAAAGAATTTTATTAATTTTGAAAATAATTGAATTATTGCAATTATTCGAAAATCTAAGTTCTTTAAAATATCTAATAAAATTAATTCAAAATTGAAATTTAATGAAATTTCAAATTAGAAGCTTTTGAAGTTGATCTATTTATGAAAATTGTAAAACCCAAATCTTATAAAAATTTAATTAGTTTTGAAATATTTAAGTAAAATTATTGATTTTAATAGTTTAATTAAATTATTTTATTTATTTTTTTAATATTATTATTTATTAAATAATTTTATGATATCTCTTCAAGAATTAAGTTATTTAAAAAGAAATTATTGTCAGAAATAGAAAAAATTGAAGGTTTTGTTTTAGAATTCGTGGCAATTTCATAGTTTTTATAAGGCAAACAAAAAAAACATCAAAATTCAGTATTTTCTTACGAATTCTAAAAATTTAATTTTTTCCAGTACCTTTAATAAAAATCCCTCACTTTTCTCTGAATTTCCTGACCTGTGTCAACTCTGTTTAAAAAAAAAAACACAATATTCTATTCTTTAAAAGAAGAAACCTAAAAAGAATTTCTCTTTTTTGACACATCTTTAAATTTTTTTTCTCCTTTTCATTTTATATCATTGCGCAATAAAAAAATCAAAAATGTCAAGATAAGCTTTAATAAAAAAGAATCTTTCATTTCTTTCCCCTTTTTTATTTCAGGATGCTCAGGGAATCCAGATGCGAAACGATTGTACGACGACCTGCTCTCGAATTACAACAAACTTGTGCGACCCGTCGTGAACGTGACAGATGCTCTGACAGTAAAGATCAAGCTCAAGTTGTCCCAGCTCATCGACGTGGTAAGTTGTTATCTTCCGAGATGGATCGTTTCCCAATTACTTAAGAAAAAAGAAACTATACCAACTTACTTTCCATTTACAATTTCTCACAAACTATAAAGAATCATTTTTCTCTTCCTCATTTTCTTTTTACTTTCCAAAAAAAAAAATTATTTTCCAAATAATATTCTACAAATATTTTACAAAAAAAAGAAAAAATTATTTTCTCTACAAAAAATTTATAAAAAAAAATTTTCTGTTACAGAATTTAAAGAATCAGATCATGACAACGAATTTGTGGGTTGAACAGGTAAATATTATTTATAAAACTAGAGAATTCTTGTATTTTGTAGTTGTACGGGAACGTTTAGCAATTTTTGAAGGGAGAAAAAATATATTGCAAAATTTATAGTTTTTATAGCTAGTTGTGACCTTCAATTTTCTTTTTTACAACTTGGTTTTTTATAGTACTAAAGATCCGTGTTATTTTATGATTCGACTATAAGCACTGGATCGTAAAAAGTGAAACGTGAAGCATCAATGGTTAGTCATCAAAATAAAAGTATATATTAATCACGAGGGATGAACGTGAAATGTAAGATAATAAAACTATACTTGAAAAAATATAAAGGTATAAACTTAAATTCACTCTATTTCTTAAAAGTCATAAATCACTAAATTTCTTTCTCAATTTTTTTCATTTCAAAGAAAAGGAATCAAAAATCGAGAAAATAGGGGAGAAAATTTAAATCTAGATACAATTTTTCAAAGATACAATACAGTAGTAAATGTGAGTGATTCTGCTGATAGTGATATTTTGAATGTCTTGATTGATTCTAAAAAAATCTATTCTCCAATAACATTATTGAAAATAACTAAAAATTTTGTGAAGTGCTCCGAAGAAATCATTATTTATTTTTTATTTTCATTTTATTTATTAATTCCAAAATATTTTTATATTTTAGTAAAAAAAAATGTTTAACAATTGTGCTCTAAAGTACATAAATGTTAAAAACAAAAATATTTTTAACACTTTTTCCAAGGATATGAAATTGAGACAAAAAACGAACCAAAACGTTGCTTCGCAACATTTTTTGATTCGTTTTTTGTCGCAATTTCATATCCTTAGAAATATTATAAACTCAAAACGCTTACAATCAAATTATAATAAATTTACAAAAATATTTATAATTTAAATTCTTTCGATTTAAATTCTTGTACTAATGATAATATTTTTACAAAAACATTAACCATTCTTGCCTGACCAAAGCAGAATTTTACTATTTGCTACCAATAATCAATCATTTGAATAATTTTCTGTGCACCGAAAAAAAAAATATTTTCAATTTTAGACGATTCCTCTTCTTTTGCAGCATTTTTTCCTCTTACATATGGGCACTAAATTTTTCCTTTCTAATTGAGAGGATTTTCCTCTTTTATATTTTCTATTAAATGTCACTTTTTAAACAGTTTGAAGTTGTGTTCAGACAAACAAAAAACAAATTAAAAATCTTCTTTCTAGTATAAATCGTATAAATTTGTTTCAATTTGAGAGGAATAATTTCAATCAAAAAAGAAAGATTAAAATTCATCTTTTAGTTAAAAAACTTTCAAATATAAACAAAAATTCCTCTTTTTTGTAGATAAATATTCGCATATTGAAAATAAAATGTAAAAATAACTGTTAAGCGGAATTTTCTTCTCATTTTGAGATTTTATTTTTTTCGGTGTGACTACATATGTGCTTTACTACTTAAAATAATTTAACTACACTATTTTTACCAAATTTCAATTCTTCTACTAATAAAAATATATTAACAAGAATAGAAACCAATTTTGTCTGACTAAGCAAGAATTTTACTACTTACAAACATTAAATAATAATTTTAAAAGTTGTCTGACTAAAACTATGCTCTACTACTAGGAACTACATATTTAAAGTCATAAAGTCCATATGGGAAAGAATTTATTACTACTGACACATTTTTAAAAATTCATACTATGTCTGACTAAAAATTATCTCTACTACTGACAATAAATTATATATAAATAATAGTCTTGAATATAAACCATTTTTCTCTGTTTCACTACTGGTATTTAATAACCGAGAAATTAAAATTTCTGCATAAAATAACATTTATTTTGTGTTTTATTACTATTCTACTACTAGGAATACTAAAGAAAAAATCGCAAAAAATTTAAACAAACTGACCAAAATAACGTTTTACTACTGATATCGAATTAACAATTTTTTGTCTGACTAAATTTGAGTTTTTCTACTTATGATAAATTAATTGAGATCAAAAAGTTATTTAAGATTAAATCAGTGAATTACAAGTTTACAATAAAAGAACAAAAAAAACTATTTGTGTCCGATTGGCATTCTTGTACTAATGATAATATATTTACAAGAATGCAAACTATTTATGTTTTTATTTTATTATTTTAATAATAATTTCGTCTGATTAAACAAGAGTTTTACTACTAACAATCAATAAAAAATTATGTGAAAAATTTTGTCTGACTTAATCCTTGTTTTATTACTTACAATAATTTAACTAAAATATTTCGACCTGATTTAAATTCTTGTACTAATGAAAATATATTTACAAGAATAGAAATCAATTCCGTCTGACTAAACAAGAGTTTTACTACTTACTACCAAAAAATAGTAATTTAAAAAAGTTTTTTCTGACTAAATCTTTACTTTACTACTTACAATATGTAGTACAAATCTACCTGATTTAATTTTTTTTACTAATACTAATATACTTTCAAGAATATAAACCATTTTTGTCTGACCAAATACGTGCTTCACTACTTGATACCAATAAACAATAGTTTTAAAAGTTTTGTTTTACTAAATCTTCATTATACAACTTGAAATAATTTAAGTAAAATATTTTTACCTGATTTAAATTCTTGAACTAATGTCGACACAGTATATCGTTTGGTTATTAAGTTAGTAACAAAGATAGTAAGTTAGTAATTAAGTTAGTTATTAAGTTAGTTATTAACTAATTTAGTTAGATAATTAGTTAGTTCGTTAGTAAGTTTGTTAGTAAGTTAGTAACTAAGTTAGTAGGTTAGATTTGTCTGACTAAATCTTTACATTACTACTTACAATAATTTAACAAAAATATTTCTACCTGATTTTAATTCTTGTACTAATGATAATATATTTACAAGAATAGAAATCAATGCCGTCTGACTAAACAAGAGTTTCTCTACTTACTACTAATAATTAAGAATTTAAAAAGTTTTGTTTGACTAAATCCATGTTTTACTACTTACAATAATGCATCTAAACTATTACTACCTAATTACAATTCTTGTACTAATAATAATATATTTACAAAAATACGAAACAATTTTTGTCTTATCAAATCAGTGTTTTTCTACTTACAATCAATTAACAAAGTTTAAAAGTTTCAAATTTAAAAAAAGAAGTAATTTTAAAATTAAAATCGATACAATATTTGTCTGACTAAATCTGTGTTTTACTACTTATAATAATTTAACAAAAAACATTTCTACCTGATTTAAATTCTTGTACTAATGATAATATATTTACAAGAATAGAAATCGATTCCGTCTGACTACACTGAGAAAACTGGAGAGTCAAATTCAGAGGTTCAAAAAGTGTATGTTTCCTTTGCTTATGAAGAGAGTTGAATAGTCCTTCTAAAATAAATTTTGAATTGATAATGGAAATCTACTTGTATATTCTCTCCTATTATATCTGAGAGTTAAAAGTTGCGCAGAAAATGTGTACGATCTGATGCGCGCGAAATTATTTTTCTGACATTTTATGTATTTAATTTAGGAGTTAGGTTGCCATATTTATTCATTTCGCGCCGGATAAGGAAGGGATTTCTCAAGATGGTTAATTTGTCCCTCTGTTATAAACTCATTTTCCCTCTAAGAGAAATGGCACGAATATCTGTTAATGGTGTATTTGAACATTTAGATTGTTATCCAATAGCTAACTCTCAAATATGAACGATTTTTCCCTCCAGATGTTTAGTCCAATACTCCAGTTTTCTCAGTGTAAACAAGAGTTTCACTACTTACTAATAATAATAATAATTATTTATTTAAAAACTTTTGTCTGCCTAAATCTGTGTTTTACTACTTAGAAGAATTTAAATACAATATGTTTACCAGATTTAAATTATTGTACTAATAATAATATATTTACAATAATATAAACCAATTCCTTCTGACTAAACAAGTGCTTTACTACTTGATACCAATAATTAAAGAATTAGATGTTTTGTCCGATTAAATCTTTACTTTACTACTTAGAATAATTAAACTAAAATATTTCTACCTAAATTAAATTCTTGAACTAATAATATATTTTCAAGAATATAAACCATTTTTGTCTTACTAAATCTTTATTTTACAACATAAAATTATTAAACTAAAATATTTCTACTTGATTTAAATTCTTTTACTAATGTCAACACAGTAAATCGTTTGGTTATTAAGTTAGTAACAAAGATAGTAAGTTAGTAATTAAGTTAGTTATTAAGTTAGTTATTAACTAATTTAGTTAGATAATTAGTAAGTTAGTAAGTTTGTTAGTAACCAAGTTAGTTAGTTAGGCGGTTAGTAACTAAGTTAGTTAGTAAAGCGGTTAGTAACTAAGTTAGTTAGTTAGATTTGTCTGACTAAATCTGTACTTTACTACTGACAATAATTTAACAAAAATATTCCTACCTGATTTAAATTCTTGTACTAATGACAATATATTTACAAGAATAGAAACCAATACCGTCTGACTAAGCAAGAGTTTTACTACTTACAAACATTAAATAATAATTTTAAAAGTTTTGTCTGACTAAAATTATGGTCTACTACTAGTTACTAAATTTTCAAAGTCATAAAGTCCATATGGGAAAAAATTTTACTACCACTGACACATTTTTAAAAATCGTTACTATGTCTGACTAAAAATTTTCTCTACTACTGACAATAAATTATATATATAAATAATGATTTTGAATATGAACCACCTTTGTCTGACCAAAGACAGTGTTTCACTACTGACACTAAATAAACGAGATTTAAAAATATCTGCATAAAATGACATTTATTTGGTGTTCTACTACTGTTCTACTACAAGGAAGGGATACTAAAGAAAAAATCGCAAAAAATTTTAACAAACTTTCTGACCCAAGTATCACAGTTTTAGTTAGATAAAACTTTTCAAATTATTGTTTTACTACTGATTTTGAAGTAACAACTTTTTGTCTGACTAAATTTGAGTTTTTCTACTTACGATAAATTAATAAGCATTCAAAC